ATCGGATTCCTACTTACAAACGGGGTGAGGCAACCCCGCACTAGCTGCTTCCCCCCAGCAGACCAGGGAGACGCGAAGCTAGCGCCCCCCCACCCCCAGCAGACCAGGGAGACACAGAGCAGCTTTTCTCGCCCCGGAGGACGCGGGCAGCGGGACCGCAGCACATCTGGGCGTCCCGCCGCTCGTGTCCTCCGGGGCGAGAAAAGCCCCGTTCGTAACTGACATAAGTCGGATCCGCGTAACTCGGGGACTGCCTGTACCTAAAAGGGTGTCACAGGGAGGGGGGAGAAAAATTGTTCCCCTTGGCCTTTGAGAACAGGACAAGAAGCAAGGGGCTGAATTGCAGCCAGGGAGGTTCAGGATGGACATTAGGAGAAACTTCCTGCCTGTCAGGGTGGTGAAACGCTGGGACAAATTGCCTGGGGGGTTGTGGAATCCCCATCCATTGAGAGCAGGTTGGACAGACACCTGTCAGGGATGGTCTGGATGGTGCTTGGTCCTGCCGGGAGGGCGGGGACTGGACTCGATGACTCCAAAGTCCCTTCCACTTCTGGTGTTCTGTGGTTCTAGAGCATCTGCTCTCCCGTCTGGCCAGACCCGAGTGCCCTGCTGTGCCCCTGCACTGAGCCACTCTGCTCTTCTGCCCTGGCACGTGCTGGGAGAGCCAGGCTGGGGCTTGGCACATGCGGCTGACTCCCAAATCCGCATCACTGACCAGCATGTCCCGTGATTCTCTCCTGTGCTGCCCGCCCAGCCCCAGGCCTGCCCCAGCTGTCGGCCCGTGCTCTGGGGCGCAGCACCCACCCTGCCCTCTCTCCGTCCCCCAGGGCGAGTTCTATGGCGTGGGCAAACACACTGAGAGCCCCTTCTCCCCCGCCCCCTTCCTGCTGCCGGACGAGGGGGACCGCATGCTGCTTCTCGGCCTCTCCGAGTTCTCGGCCAACTCGGCTGCCTTCGTCTACTTCACCGCAGGGGCCTTGCGGAAGAAGCTCACGGACAGCATGGTACCGGGCCGGGGCGCCCGCGGCGGGGCGAGGGAGGGCGACGCTGCGTCCTGGGCTCAAGCAGACGGAGCCCCGCAGGCCAAAGGGCCCCCCGCCCTGTCCTCCCTGGCTGGTGTGACGAGGGCTCCCCACAGGCCGTTCCCGAGCGCTGCACCCAGGCCTGCGGCCGTAGGATTTCAGTGCGGGATGGCGGGGGGCTGTTGATCTACAGGGCGGGTACAGCCCCAGCCCCAGCGTGGCCCAGCCCTGCCCCAGAGGGCCCCGCAAGGCTGCCGCATGTCCAGGTCCCTCCCTCGTTGGAGGGCGCTGGCCCAGGAAAGCAGAGTGGGTCTCAGAGCAGGCTGCCAGCTTGGGCTCCGGATGTTGGGGGGTTTTTGCATCTCAGAGGCGGTGGCAAAGGGGAGGGAGAGCCAGCCAGCCTGCAGGCAGCCTTCCCCGCCGGCCCCCCGGGGCAATGGCTCAGGCCCTGGGGTGCGCTCCCCAGCAACCTGGTGTCCCCCGTGTTTGTGCTGCAGATCCCAAAGCGCTCCCCCATCCGGCTGAACACGCGCAGCTTGGGGCTCTTCTGCCCACAGGTGAGTCAGCCTGGCGCTGGCCACTGCTGGATCTGGGCCAAACCCCCCCCTGGCCTGGCGCCGGGGCCACGTCCCTGGGCTCCCCCGTGACGGACCGGCGCACACCTCCCCTCCAGGGGCCCTGCAGGGAGCTCCCAGAGGG